AGGAATCTTGGTTTCTGGAGGGTGAAGGGGAACTCAGAGGAGCTGTGGCTGTCCCATGCCTGGCAGTGTTCAAGGCCAGGCTGGACAGGGCTTAGAGCAACCTGGGATAGTGGAAGGTATCCCTGCCTGTGACAGGGGTGGAACAAAATGAGCTTTAAGGTCCTTTCCAATCCAAACAACTCCATGATTCTGTGAACCCACTGTGCTCAACATGGTTGAGCTCTGCTTCCTGCAGCAGCCCCTCTCTGCAAAGAGATTTCCACGCTCCTCCACTCTGCTGACAGCTCCTGCACCTGCAGTCACAAACCACCAAGCCCAGCATTACCCCAGTTACAATTGTCCACCTTTTCTGCCTGAGCTGGGATGAGGCACTGAGTGCCCAGCACAGCTCCAGCTGCTCCTTATCCTGAACTAAATGGCTCCAGCACAGAGATTTTGTTAGATGGACATGACACATCTGACCCTGCCTGAGCACCCTGTTTAATTACTCCAGGAAAACACTGGCACTGTTTCTCTCACTGCTTATCTGCTCTCTTCTACCTTACTGCAGACCTTGGCAAAACGAGTCCCCTCCCACACAAAGGACCTCAAGGGCACTAAACCTTCCCCGATTCCTGCACAGCAGCTTCTTTTGACACAAACCCCACACTGCCTGCCAAGTGCAAGTGGAGCTCTCTGTGCTGTTCACTGTGGAAAGCACACTCCAACCACAGCCCCTCACCACACCCCCTGCTCTCCCACGCTAGAGGCCACAGCAGTGCCAAGGACAAGAAGGGAAAAGGAGCTTACTGGCAAAGATGGGAGCCTGCAAGAGCCCTGTGAGGAAGACCACAGCTCCTGCATGGGTCCTGCATGCTGTACCCTGGGAAGCACAGGAAAGTGTCACCTCTGACACTTATACCTGCCCTCCCTGTCAAGTGAGAAGGTGAACAGGTCTGAGTCAAATGGGCTCACATATCCTGGCAAATGTCCCCTGACTGTGATCTGAACAAACATCTCGGCAGCCTGGAAAATGAGCATCTCTCCCACATGATCAGGCTTGTATCAGGCTCTTAGCAAACTTCTAAGTGTTTCTTGAGAGCCACTGGATTTGCTGACAGCCTGGGGAAGTTCCCTTGGAGGTCTTTGTTCTTACCACAACTTCCAAACTAGTTTAAGTTTGTGGTGACTGGGAGCCACTCTCAAATACCCACATTTGAAGAACATGCATCCTTCATCCTCCTTCATCCCATTCAGTGGTTTTATCTGGAGACAACCCTGTTCCATCCCTCTCCACACCAAATGGAGTCGGAACTGGTACTGGGACACAGCAGGACATGTCACAACAGTGATGGCAGCATGTCCTCCACAGCCACACAGTTCTGCTGTTAACTCCAGGTAGGAAAGCACTAGTTAGAGTGGAAAAGCTCCAGTCACCAGAGTCCTGGCAGCAGCAGAGGCAGCACTGGTGCCTGTGTGCTGCCAGGGGCTCTCAGACACGGCTGGTGGCAGCAGCATTCCTGAACACAGGATGGACTCAGCTCCTCACCAAGAACTCAGGGTCTCTGCACCTACTCTTCTGGGGCACAGGGCAGGGAACAGATCCAGGCCCCAGGGAAAATGTTTTGCCAGATTCAGGAATGACCACACAAGAGAACAGTGATGGCAGCATGGACACTCCTCTGGCATTCAAAATGAGGTTTGGGGGGTTAGGTTTGGGTTTTTTCCCTACAATTACTTACAAGTGCAACTGTCACAGACAGAGAAGCTGCACAGCCCTCAGAACAAGCAGAGCTGCCCTGGAGTACATCCCCAGTTCCAGGAGGACAGCTGAGTTTCTCTGGAATGGATGCCTTGAGAAAACAATTAGCAAAACCAAAATGCTAGAGAAGGCATCCTATCAAAACCACACCATTTCCCACCAGGCTACAGGAACCCCAGCCCAGACAGAAATCAGCACAGCTGCTCAGCAACAACAACAACAATAACAATTTAATTGTGTTAAGAGACAAACATATTAACAAAATCCATATTTCCATTAAAAAAAATCCTTCTGCCTGGGCACCTGAGCCAAGTCATTCTCTGTTCACAGCTCCATGGTGCTGCAGAGTATCCAGAGAGGCTGGGACTGCTACTGGGAGTAACTGCTGTGTAACCTGGCCAGAGCAGAGAGCTGCACTGCAGCCACATGGGAAGGGACATACAAAACAGTTATGAAAAAATATGCATTTTAAATAAAGAACTTACAACAACTTCAACTTTATACAAACTATCATGGTTGCCATGTCTCGATTTCAGTGTCTCAATTCTAGGAATTATCTTTGAGCTCTCAGCATCCTGTTTTCCATCTCACACCACCTCTGTAGTCTCTTTCTCCAGAGAGCTCTGTCTCTGTCCAACTCAGTCCAGAGCACCTGAAAATGAAAAAAACACATTAAGAATGTCTCAAGAATCAGAAGTGCAGTTCTGTGAAGAAATAAATCTTGTTAACAAGTTGGTAAAAGAAAGTGCAGTAACTTTAAAGTTTAAGCAAATCACACACAAGTACAACGAAATCTAGCAAAAAGAAACAAACAAACAAACCCACTGCACATGCCTCTGGGTCCAGCTGAGCCATTCCAGTGCACAGAAGGGCACTCCAAGCCACACTAGGAATTACTGAGGATGTGGAAGCAGAGAGTTTTGCAAATGACTCAGTCCTTTCTCTCCTAAGTAGGTTATTACACTAAATACTGAAATTAAGTAGAAACTCACCTTCCAAAAAAGCAAATTCATCAATAGCTTCAATGGCATTATCTGAAAAGGAAATTGAGAACAATTAAAATAAATAAGCCAACTCCATATTCGCATCTATTTCAAACTGCAGCATTTGAAATTACATCACAGCACAGTGACCAATTTAAAAGATTTACTTGTTTTGGAGATAGTGTGTGAAATTATTAGTGAAGTAGTAGGCAGAAATTTTTCTCTCCCAACTTCAGAGAAAGAAAGAATAAATTCCTATTTACGTCAGCACCTCCAGACAGGTGGAAAAATTCCCCATCAAAGCAACCCTTTGCTAAGGCCAGCACAGAACACGCTCCCATACCAAGGTCTTTTCTTTGCAGTGTTTTCCTTTTTCCTTGCTGGGCATACACGTAAGCATCTTTGGCTATGGTTTCAACAAACAGCTCCTGCAAAGCAAAACAGGGCAGGTTCACAGAGCAGATGAGAGACAGAATATTCCTGAGGAAAAAGAAAGGTCCTACGAGGCTTCAGGATTCGATCAGAACCTTCATCCCAATATTACCCCTTCCCAGCAAACAGGTCTGAAAATACCCAAGGAAGTGGCAGGACAGTGATGCAGTGAAGCAGTGAGGGAGCAAAGCGGAGCTGCAGCCCTTCCCCAGCCCCGGCAGCCGAACCGCCCCGCGGGTCCGCAGCGGCGGCCGCCCGGGAGGGAAGCACAAAGCTCCCGGGCAGGCCCGAGCAGCGTCCCCGCAGCGTTCCGGGCGCAGGAGCCCCGGGCCGCCCTCACCGTGGCCCGCGCCAGCACGAACACGGCCTCCTGGCTGGCCAGGGTGACGTCCGGGTCCGCCTTCACCAGCGCCTTCACCCGCGCCAGCGGCAGCCGGGCCAGGCGGGCCGGCCCCGGGCCCTGCGGCCCCGCGCCCGCCGCCTCCTCCCCGGGCGCCGCCGCCTCGGCGGGCCCCGGCCCCGGCCCCGGCCCCGGCCCCGGCCCCGGCCCCGGCCCCGGCCCCGGCCCCGGCACGGCCGCCGCCGCTGCCATCGCGCCCGAGCGCTGCGCCTGCGCGGGGCCGGGCCGGGCCCGCCGCGCGGAC